TGTTTAAGGTTTGGCAGAAGTCCCTGGTGTCCAAAAGAATTATGTACATAGGTCTTTTAAGGAAGCAAGGAGAGTAAACAAAGCTGGAAGCAGAAGAAATGAACTCATCTTGGAGATGATAATGCTGGAGGTCAGAAACTGGGAACATTTGAAAGAGGAGATGCATATAAATCTGGATGGCTGCACCATCCCTGATAACTGCAGTGTGTTCCAGAGAACTAGAGTGGCAGTAGCTGCCTGTGGCATTAACGACGACTATCCTTCTCCTTGAAATGCAGAGTCCAAGGAAGAGAACCCGAGAACTCTGCAAAAGGACCCGACTCAGATACTTGTGGTTTCAGAGAGAGAAGAAACACGCTGCCCCCTCGGCAGCAGTCATGGGCACCATCTCAGGGAGGTCAACACTAACCACTGGGGCCTCATCACACCTCTTCCGGGAGGAGGAGTGGTAGGTTGGGGGTGGGAGTGCTACAGCTTTGAGGAGATATCAAATTCCACTTTATTTGCTTACCAAAGTAAAGCCAAAGCACGTAGCACTACATGACCCCCCTTTTTTTTTTTTTTAATTAAAAAATGCAGCCCTGGCCGGTTTTGCTCAGCGGTTAGAGCGTCGGTCCTGAGAGACCTGGGTTTGGTTCCCACTAAGGGCATGTACCTCGGTTGCAGTTTGTCCCCGGCCCTGGTTGGTCGTGCGGGTGGCAGCCACTCGATGTGTCCCTTTCACGTCGATGTTTCTCTCTCTCCCTCCCACTCTATCCGAACAAAAAATGGAAAAATGTCCTTGGGTGAGAATAAAAAAAAAAAAAAGCAAGTTGCAGGAACAAGTAACATAGGCTGCCTTTAGGATAGTGCAGTGCCCTTTGTGTGTGAGTGTGCCTAGATGAAAATGCAGTTGGGATTTTACAAACTGAATGTACTATCCTCTTGGGGAATGTACACTACTCTGAGTCAAAGACTTTTGGATTGGCTTTTATTCTTTTAAATCATGGGGCAAAAATCTGATCCTGAGAGAGTCATTATAGCTGAAAACCAGGCAAACCTGGGTTCAAATTCAGCCTGTGGTATACTTATAAGCTCTGTAATCTTGATTAAATAACCACAATTCTTTGTAAGCTTTAGTTTTCTCATCTCTGAATTGAGAATCTTCCTATCTCTTTCACAGGGCTTTTGAGGGAACTAAATAACATATATGTTTGTAGTGTTCAGCACAGTGTCTACACAAAGTAAACTCTCAACAAATGGTAAATATCTTGGAGCTGGTACGATTAGCAGTGTCTACACATGAATCCTGAAATACGCCCTCTCTTTTCCATGTGTACCATGTACATGGGAACTTGCTGGTATGAGACCATGTGCATTGGCATCAGAGCCTTGGAGCCTCTGGAGGGGAGCTGAGGTTCTTCCTTCAGGTATCCATGACTTCTTAACTCCTATCTCAAGGAAGTTTCAAGAACACTGTGAACCCAGCACAAGAAATTTGAGAAGAGGGCCAAGTATATTCTGTATAAATCAGAGGGACAAGCACAATAGGGATAGTGGTAGCTGAAAAAGGAGGCCGGCATGGGGGGAGAGGGGCAGGCATCCTGAAGACATAAAAAGTAGAACAAATTTGAGGGCATTGGCTGGAGGAATTGGAAATAGAAAATACTTTTTACCCTTCCTTCCTTTTTCTGAAGAGCAAATATTAAAATCTAATATTTATTGGACATGTTCCATGCACCTAAAGACAGAGATACCATTATTAATCCTGTTAGATGAGGAAACCAAACATTGGGAGATTACATACAGCAGAGTAGCAGTATGTTGTAGTGGATAAGAACTTGGGCTGTGGAATACCTGGGTTGGATTTCTGGCTCTACCACGCATTAGCTTTGTGATCATAGATAAGGCCCTCAGTTCTCAGCCCAACTAACTTGCAAAATATGTGAAAAGTAGGGACTGTATCTGTTTGGTTCACTATTGTGTATCTGTTTTTTTCACTATTAATGAGCCCTTACTATTTTTTTCGATGAATAAGGAACAAAACCAAAACCATTTCCCAGATGGACAGAGTGATGAGCGTTTTAAGGTAAAGTAGGATGAATGCTATAAAACAACCTGGACAAATTTGTCAGCGAAATCAAGCAACAGCACAGACTGGACTGCACATGCATCATGTAGCTCCTTCTTTATATGCCATCCACTCCACTTATTCTTGTCTCTTCCCTACCACTGGGACATTTATACTCACTGCCCACTGAGGTAATGCCACCTGCTTGGGATTCTCGTAGCCTGCAATTCCCTTGTATTTAAGTTTCTTGTTTTAGATCTCCATGAACCCTAGCTGCATATTATACCACTTCAATGATCTGCCTGTAATTTCCAAACATATGTTTCTCTCTGCTTTATTTGGTACTGACCCAATCCCTTTAATATTCTGAGTTATTTAAACGTCAGGTAAATTTCTTCCTACAATTTCTATATATAAATCTTAATCTTTTAAAATTTTTCCTGACTTATCTGTATTTTTATGTTCCTACTAAATAATTTATTGTGTTCTGAAACCAATTTGTCACGTAAATTACTTCAGGGGGGAGAGGGTAATCAATTATCACATACTAGCTAGTTTTGGAATCTTCCTATTTGTTGAAAGCATTTGGAAGATCAGCCTAATAGAAGAAGAGAAATGAAGGCTGAATTAACAACATTCACAAGTGACTGAATAAAACATAGAGACTCTACTTTTAAGTATAAAGGTATTGAGAAGGGAAATGTTTATTCTTTTATCCAGTAACAAACATCTATGTCCCTGGCCCTGTGTAAGTTGCTGGAGAAATAATAATGCTAGTTCTGGTCCTTAAAGAACAGATAGTCCAGGGCGAGCTTTCTCAACCTCTGCACTACTGGTATTTTGTGTAGAATAATTTATTGTCGTTTGGGGTGGGGAAGGTGCTATCCTGTGTAGTGTAGGATGTTTAGTTGCATCCTTAGACCCTACCCATCAGATAAAATAGCTTCCTGCCTCTCTTCCCAGTGGTGACAACCAAAACTGTCTTCTGATGTTGCCATATACCCCTGGGGGTAATGCCCACCAGCTGAGAACCACTAGTTAAGGGAAAGTAGGTCATTTCTTTAATATACTCAGAGTAGAGAAAGGGCTCCTAGTGCTGAGGGCAAGTGGGAGACAATGCCATGGGAAGTTTCACTTAATGACTTAATGCTCATTTCTAAAAATATTTAGCAGTAGGCCAAGCAGACAAGAACAGAGAAAGTTTGAAATATTTGGAAAGAGGTAGAAGAATGAGTAGAGAAAGACCATTCAGGTAGAGATAAGAGGATAAGCAAAGGCCTGGAAGAAGAGAGACTGCAGAATACTCAGGCAACAGTAGATGGCTTACATGGGGGAGAACTGGAAATAAAGCAGGGACTAGATCATGCCAAGTAAGAAAAGAGATGGAATGAATAAATAAATAAATATTTTAAATACAGTGGAGCCTTTTTCAAACAAAACCTTACCTAGATCCCAAGTCTACTAATTCAATCAAAATGGAACTGCTTTGACTGGATCGTGGTCCACTAGGTTTTTCCCTTGGCTTCTAAGTTGGCTCCTGAAGTACCTCTACGGAACCCTAGAACTCCCGGAAACACTGGGAAATCAGTTCTGTAAGCAATAGAGTACCACTGAAGGATATTAAGTGCACGATATGTGTTCATATATGCCTTTTAGACAAAGCACTCTAGTGGTGGAGCTGGGTGTGGAGAAGGGACAAGGGGGCAAGCAGCACAGAACTAGTCAGCATTTCAGATGTGGGTGTCACATATGAAACAGTTTCACATATAGCCAGTCTTCAGGCTAATACACAGGAAAAAGCACATTGGCTTTGGAGTTGTATACATTCAGCTTCAGATTCCAGGTAGGTCATTAGCTATGACCTTTGGCAGTTAGTTGACCTCGCGAAGCTCTTTTTCCTTATTTTGTAAAATGGGGGCTACCTCCCTCACTTGGTTGCTGTAAGAAAATATATGCAAACAGAAGTCAGATGCTGGCATATGAGAAGCACTCAGCAAATATAAATGTGCACCCTTCTTTCACTTGCTCTCTTTATGGTTAAAGCTTATTAAGCCTCCCTGATCCTACGTAACTTCTGAGTGTGAAAGAGATTTAATGGCTTGTTGATAATGGATTTTTTACATGTTATAGAACAGATACATTCTTTTATATTTTTGGAGTGCCTATTAGCATGTGCCACATGCTAACAGAAGAGGCCAGGGTTTGGCTTCTTACTTTGTGATGTTCCAGGATGTTTCATGAGAGAAATCATAACAAGCACCACCAGACCTCAAGCACTAGGGTGTGTCCATCTGGTTCAGCAAAGCTGGCATCCGTTTTGTGGTTAGAATTCAGCAGTGAAAGACCCCATCTGTGTACAACTCTTTCAGGAGTTTCAAGTGGTATTAGGATGACAAAGCCCAAAGTAATAGAAGTACCCTTCTGTTCCTTACCATCCTGTGTCAGTAAGTGCTTCTTTAATTGTGAATTTTCACACCTTTTTCAGAGAAAATAATCTTTGAGAGCATCACCCTGTTTTCTCCTCATCTTTCTTATTTTTATTGTCACTGACCAGATATATTGTCACTTAAGAGAAAAGTACACTGAAAAAAGGTGAAAGGTACAGGGATTAGGGGTATACCTTTGTGAAGAATTGATCCCAGAGTAGGAAGAGTTCAGCTGATGTATTTTAAAATCAAAGGCAGTATCTGTAACTCAGTGGATTAGGTCAGAAGTCTTACAGAAGCAGAGCCAACTCAAACTTCAGGCAACAAGGTGATTAATCAAAGCCTTCTGATACTCTCCAGGTAGTCTTTATTTCTGTACTTCTATAATAGAGACTCTATCTTCCTTTACGACCACACATTTCCAGGACTCTAGTGGAGAATTCCACTTTCTAGTGGAGAATTCGGCATCATGACCAACTCCTGTCCTATTAGAGGCTCCAATATGAGGAACTCACCAGTCTTACCTCTGAATTAGGGTCCCAAAGATAAGATGAAGAACTTTCTGCATGTTTTCTGTACACAGCCATTTCCACTGTTCCATTAGCAACAAGAGGAGCAGATCTAGGGCTGTGTCAGCCAATTCCGTCTCTGTTCCTGCAGAATAAAGAGGCATCAAAAGTAACTCAGAAGAGACCCATACTTGAGGACCATCTTTCAGTGCACTTTACCTTGTAGTTTTATAATCCATCAGTTCTTAAATCATGTCAACAGATACTTATTTCATATCTAAAAAGTTCAGTGATAGTCTCTGTATTTCTTTACAATTCTTTTCTTTATATTCCTTAATCACTTAGTAAAAAAATTTTTACTTTTTAAAAAGATTTTGTATATAAGTATTTTGCCTACTTCTATTTCTTTTATCTTTCCCCCAGGGAGCAGAATATATTTTGTTCCAAGTAAGAGCTCACACTGGTGACGAACTGGAACCGGCAAGGCCCAGTCTCTTCCGCACTTCTATTCCACTCGCCTCCACAAAGCATCGCAGAGACGTGTGGGCAGCAGACTGGGATTCATGCTCCTGTTAAAAGGAGCTTTGAAAGCATCTCCATTACTCAGAGCTGTTGGGTTGGGATCCAGGAAGCTTCAGTTTGATTTTGAGACAACATGTGGTTCTAGGAAAAACACTACACCTTTGGGAAAATGCCAGGACAATTACTGATTTCTTTCCTATTTCAAAGACTGGCCATAAATGAGCTCACACCCAAGCTAAACTGAAGTCTCCGAGCAGATGTACTGTACGGAGGGAAGTATCTGTTCTCTAATCCTGTTCAGGGGGTCCCATGTCACCACTGATTTGGTTCCCGGGATATTTTCTCAGGAATCTTAGCTACCTGGTGCTATTGCTGTGATTAATATTATAATTAATCACCAACAATAATTCTGTTAGTCTAGGACCAATGGGTATTCTCTTAGCTTGCCCAAGCTCTCCTCCTTTCACGGTTCTTTGGAACATAAGTAACTTCAGACTCGGATGAATCTGCCAGAAATAAAACCTGCTTTCTTCTTAATCCCATCCAATACATATTTTCTTTCTTCTGCACTGTATTTTAAGGGGGCATGGGAGCTTACTTTCTAATCATTTGCTCAAAGATGGGATATTGAGTTCCTTGGGAAAGGGCATCATTCTGAGCCCGAGTCACCCTCCTGAATTCTATTCTTGTCTCAGGTTTAGTATTTACATAGAGCTGCCACCATGTGGCGACAATTAGTCATAACAGTAAAAAATAAGAAAACAAGGCATGAGGTGCTCTTGAAGAAAATGGTAAATTTTTGATCAATGAGTATTTAGAGTCTCTTAGGGCTAGATGAAGGGCTCAGGCATAAATTACTCCTTTAGACTTGATCTTAGCCAAAAGGCTGAGAAGCGATACACTATTCCTTTAAAGATATGGTGTTCAAAGTTTACAGGCTTGATTAGATTACATTGTTTTATCCATTCCCTCTTACTTATAATGTCTTACAGTTTTTTGATGCCTTTTGTGTCAAAATACTTCATTGACTTAACAAGTGAGATATGTATAAAGAGACGGGGTTGTAAACTCCATGTTTCACATAGTTAAGCTGAGGTCCGTACGGCAGAGGTCAGGTGACTATTCAGGCACTCAAGAAACAATGATGCAATCAAAGTTCTTATTTTCCTTCTGAACCTAAGATTTTGTGATCTTTATTTTCATTGGGAGACTTTATCTTGGTGGAATTGAAAATTTTTCTTTTTATAAATTCTAGGTTAGCAAACATACTAATATCCAGGACTCTTTAATTTTTCTTCTTCATTCCTCTGGCAAGCACACCTGCCCTGCTTCAAATGCCTATAAGGAGAGTCGTGTTCTCAATTCTTCTCCCTCCCTGCTCTTCTTCGGGTAACTAAGTGGTGTCATTTGCCATAACAATAAATAAAACAAAAGAAATAGATCCAGGAAAAAGATGAGTTCCATTTTGCACATGTTGTATCAGATACCAGTAGGCAACTGGAAATACAACATCTGATATTATGCATCATAGCACATGTGTCAGAATTAAAGCCAACAGTACAAATGAGATCACCGAGGTGCAGTGTGCAGAGGAGAAACAGAGGGCCAAAAGGAAAGCTCTGGAAGGATAATAAGGGAGCCGATAAAAGGGGCTGAGAAGGGACCAACCAGGAAAGTGGCACCAGAGGCACTAGAATAGATAAAGGGAGCGGTTCAGATGTAGGCCAAAGCATGCCAAAAAGAACTTCAACAAGGTGATAATACTATAAGCATGAATCTTATTTTGCTGGATTGAAACCCCAGTCTTTGTGCCCCGTTCCTCTGACCAGCTCAGCTCTGGTGATGGTGTCGTATTCTTTTTGCATCCCAGCACTCAGCACAGAACCTCAGACACTGGTGTTTAACACATGGCTTACTTAGCTGAACAGAAAATAAGTTAAAGTGATGAATCCCAACTATCATAAGCCCCCAGTGGACTGTACTATGGCTGTCTTCTCTGTGGAAGCAGAGATCTTGTCACTCACCTGGATCACTGTCACTAAGGTCTTGGGCTGGCACGGCTGCATCTGACAAGCAACCATCCACACATCCTTTGGGGGTGTGTTCAGGATCTTTTTCTGGGGCTTCTGCTGGCTGCATTTCTAGTAATTTTGTCTGCTTTTCAATAAAGGATTCCATCCCAGACATGGATAGAATCTCTGACTCCTGAAAAAAGCCAGGAGCACATCACATAAAGAATGCAGAATGTAGAGGAGCAACCAAAGCACTTTAGGTTTTCCCTGTTTCTTCCCTGCAAACACATCATGAGCATAGAACCCAACAGACTCTTGTGACCACCTTAGGAAAGTTGCAAGTGAACAAATGCCTTTGTATTCTCACTTGCCACAAACACTTTTGGGTTACCTGTTCTCTTCCAGGAACTGGTTTTCTTTCTCATTCTGTCCTACATTCTTCCACACCCATGACCTTTGAGAAGCCAACTTGCCAACTCAGAACTAGTAGGAATTCCAAACCACTTGTAGAAAATACTTTTATAATAAAAAAAAAAAATAGGGATCCAAATGTTGTAAGTCCTTTAGCAAGGTGTCTAAGTCCTTTCTGACTTTGGAGAATTCTCAAGTGCCTACAACTGCAGGACCAACAATTCCAACTATTAATCCCAGGAGTTCTCTAGGAGCTTCTCACCATACTGCCTTCCTGGAGACAATAGAGAATCTTCTCTTGTGCTTCACTTATATTCAGTGCTGGAGCAATCTTACTGGATGAGAACCTCAGTCTGGACCTAGTTCAGAAACAAAGAGCAGAAACAGAATATAATTCATGATCTTGATTTCTATATAAAGAGCTGACAAGTATTAATACCTCAAAACAAATACACCTATACTTATTCTGGGAACTTGGTGGTCTGAGTTGCCATAATGGATCTGGCCCTGAAATCTCCAAACATGTATTTTGGAAATTCTTAATATTTAGTGCAACTCTTGCACCAAGCTTTGTCTACAATGCATCTGCGAAATGTAAACTAGGGACCAACCTGTCATAGTTGTATTCCCAGAGGCTAGAAGAGTGGCTAACACATACTACATACTCATTAAATATTTGTTGAAGATTAGGCAAGTGGCTTAGATTTTTGTTGTTGTCATCAGTATTTTTTTGCACATCCACTTCTCTTATTCCCCTTGTGTTCCAAATAAAGCCAGAGAAGGGACTGCAAGTGCTAATCTTAGTGTTTCAAGGGACATGATTATCATAAACACAGGTCTATGTCATCCTTCAAAGTATGGCCCAGGAAAGAAAGCTAAGAATTGTTATTGCCGGCCCATGAAACATGAACAGAGATAAACTTAGCTAGACAAACAGACAAACACACAAATACTCTCCACTCCCCATATTCTCCCTCTCCATAATGGCCCAGATACAGACACAAATTTTCCAGAAAGGGTAAGGGTGGTGCCCTTGCCTTCCACATGTTGGCTTTGAGTACTGCCAGGGAACATCTGACCCTGGTGCAGGCGAATAGCAGCAATAACCAGTTACTAAATTGGGCCCTGCAGGTGTCCATTCTAGCCCTTCCCCGTTTATTGCTAGTATATGCAACTTCTGAGCCAAGATTGCCAGAAATCATGGCAAACAGAGATGAGTTATAAGCCTTTGCTCTTAATAGGAAAGAACAACTCAATTTTCCAGGAAAATAGAAAAGGAGAATATCCATACTCTAGAGTTTTCCTTCTAGTCACACATCCCTGATCAGTTTGGGCCCTGGGTTCCCATGGCAAGACAAATATTCAGCACTGAGGAGTCTGAGGTCCGGCTTTGCATAAAAACTATGTATGACCCATCTCCTCTCCTCTAGAGCTTGAGAGTTGGGGATGGGCTTTGGCTGAGGACTGGGATCAACCAGAGAAGTGGGAAAGGGTCCCTGGGCGACTGGAGGGCTTCTCACTTGCTGGTCTTCTTGCCTTCTGTCTGGGGCTTGCTCTCTGTCTCGGCCTCACTCAGCTCCTCGGTGGGGCTCTGGGGCTCAGAGCGAGGAAACGCGGTCTTCAAGGTGTCCACGATAGCATTCACCACCATCTGTAGGGGTCAGAGGTGCAGAGCCGGAGAGAAACCTCCAAATGAGCAGTTTTCTCATGGTGCTTTATGCAGTCAGGATGGGGAGAGAGCTAGGCCATCTAGTGGAGCCTTATCCATCAGCATAGTCAGATATCAGCTAATAACTTAGTGGCAATTATTCTGCCTTTTCTATGGCCATAAAAGGCTTCTTTCTCATAGAGTTAAGACAAACGTGTTATGGGAAAAGAAGCTGAAACAAACAATGAGATAAATAAAAACCTGGGAGTTCTGAAGGCTGTTGAAATACTTCTCATTTTCAATTTCTTTCTTTATATATAAAAGAATGATTTTTAGTTTTCAAATTTATTTCACCACGATGTGAATAAGCAGAAGTAATATAGGTGGGAATAAATGAAGAACAGAAAGAGTGAAGACTAACAAAATAAGAAATACAGTCTAGAGGCATATAAAATATAAACATGCTAAGAGTAATTTACACAGAGTAAAGAGCGGGCTTTTCCAGTTAATTCAATTTTTCTTCTTCTTTTGTTAAGAAAGAATAACAAAAATCACTCAGGTCAAAATTAAGAAATTGGAAATTGATATAAACTTCTCTACTCAGAAAGACTAATAAAACAATCCTCAATGAAATATAAGAATTATCTCTATTTTTCAGGATGGGAAGATGACATACAGATATTTGCTAAAAAAAAATATGTACAAACAAATGAAACCATGGAATACTGAAGAAACGTTTCCTTTTCCTTGGGTGCCCCTCCCTAACCGATTCTGCTGGCTCAGAGCAGCACCATGACTTCTTTACTCAGCCTTGTGTTAATCCTCCACAGGAGCTAACATAGCCCAGACAAGGCTGGAACGGCCGAGGAAGAGTACAGTAAAGACCAGGGCATAATAAACAGGTAAAAAGTGGGTAATATGAATGTGCTTAATGTAGCTTAGAAAATATAACTTTCTCTCTAGGCTCACAAAATTGTAGCCTGTGAGGAAGATCCTTATGTGTTTTGCGCACTGCTGTATCATGAACAACCAGTACAGTACACAGCTTTAAACAGCAAGTAGCAAGTGGATGCTGAAAGAACCAATGAACACATGCATGGAACTTTGGGGCTTTTACCTTGGGCAACCCTCTCTAGTTTGCAGTTCTTTCCTCATGACAATGAATGTCTCCTAGCTTCCACCATGTGAAATTCCACTTTATCATTTTATCCCTTGAAGTCTAGATGAGAAGAGGGAGGCCCCTCTTCTGCCAATGTGTCAGTGTGTTCTAACTTAAAAATATATATAAATATATATATAACATCTTTTGATAAATGTAAACCTCAGAATTCCGCCTTGGGGACTGTGAAATCAGTTGGTGATCACTGCTGTTAGGCTCAATGTGTTACACAAATGTCCTTCTCCCACCATCTCCAAAGGTCCTGAGATACCCTCCTGAAGAAGGTACAAGTCTTCCCGCACTCTGTTCTCCAGCAGAGAATTACTACACCTATCTAAAGTCAGCTTAGTGTCCTACCCTAGGGGTTTCTTTCCTGAGTGACCAACATTGGGAGTGACCTTCACCTCCAGAAGAGACCTCCCTGCCTCCACCTATCTATGGAGGTGTAGATCTATTCTTATATCCCTCCACTTGAATAACTATATCCCTGGGAGATATGTGTACACTTACAGTGTCAGGGATATATATTTTACCCCTCAAAGCTGCTCACTGTAGTTTAGCAAGTTGATGATCCAACCAATATTTGGGAACAGGTCTTGAAAATTCTATCCATGTTCTCCTGACTCCTCTGTGCTACCTCTTGCCGTCCCCCATATCCCTTATTTTTAAAGCGCTGCGCCCACTCTGATGAGAAACTAGGGCTGAGCGCACAGTGGCCCTGCTAGTACCTTGTCTATTCTGGAGACCATGAATGGTTTCTTGACAAAGGCAATATGAGCATCTGTGTTCAGAGCAAGGAACTCCTGCATCTCCTCACTATTAGCGATCTCAGGAATGGCACAGAGTTGCTGTAAAAGACACAAGAAGGACGTCAAAGAGAAATTCCAGTCCCCTAGATCTCTCCACCTTGGCTTGGGTATCTGGTGGGTAAAATGAGTACAGAGCCAAAACAGAAGGATGCTGACCTTTAGGAATGATTCCAGGAGGCTCTTACGGGCTTCTACTCTGTCACTATCCATGTTTCCAAACGGGAGATCTGGAAAGAGCTTTTTAGGACCCTTCACATCTTTAAAAAAAAGTTCATTCATTTAACATTCATTGAGAGCTATTCCATATAAAACACAGCATATATGTAAAAAACCCAGAACTGTTAAAATACATTTCCCTGGAATTTTTTATTTCAGAAGTTCCAAATATACCCCAGGGATATAATACAGACAACTTACTTCTATTATTAATGTTTATATTAAGGTATAAGAGGTCATATACGACAATGGTTACGAATGAAGGCCCTGAAATCCAATTGCTCAAGTTTAAATTTAGGCTCCAATTCCTCCTATAATAACCTTAGGCAAGTTGTTTAATCTTTCTTTGACTTTGTTTCTTTTCTGTAACATGGAAATAATGATAGTATTTATCTCATAAGCTGTTATGAGAATTCAATGATCTAAAAATGTGTAAAGTACTTAGAGAACCTGGCATATATTTTCAAGTTTGGCTCAGTTGTAGCTATTGTTATTAAGAAAGAAAATGCATAACTGAAATTCACAGTTTTTGCATAAGCTTATGACAATGTTTATTTGGGTGATCATTAGCTTTTTAAAATAAATATACTTTGTTTACTTGAAAAAGAAATTTGATGATTACTAGCTTATTTTTAGAGTTAAATTTTATTACATTTTCTTAGTGTCCCTGTGTCTTATGGCATACCTAAAAAAGCCTGGTTGTTACAGCAAAGTGGCAAGGGTTTCTGGATAATATTTTACTATTTAAGAGCAATCAATCTATGAATCTGAAAAAGTTAATTTAACTCCTCATGCTACCTCACAGACATAAGTAGAAATGTAAGTTTTTTTTTAAAGTTTAAACTAAAGGGGACCCCAGAACAAAGCATTCAGTGGCAAAGTAGTACCTCAGAAACAATGTAACATTTGCTGTCCAGAACTAAAACCCAAATCACTTGAATGCAAACTGAGGGGGGAGGGGTAGAGTCAAAGATCCTTGATGCTGCCCTCTCTTCCTCCATCCCTCCCCACAAACCAGCAGGCCACCAGCCTCTCAGAACAAGATGGCCAGATCTGAAAAGCAAGCAGGCAGTCTAGGGATGGGGAAACTCCTTACGTTTGATGAACTTCCGAAGATCTGATTTCTCCTCCAGACGGGTCTGTAGATTCAGGAACTCGCGGTAGCGGCGATTAACAGTGTGGTACGCCAACTGCTGCAGGCTGCTGCTGTTCTCGCTGTCAAGGGCCGTCTCATACTGTTGAATGAATAAATTTGCTTACTGCATCAGCTCGAGAGCCACACAGTAAGAGGAGCGTAGGGGTAACGAAGGGATCTGTTCTTATTCTGCTCTCAAACCTACCAGATCTGATTGCTGCTGTAAATTGTAATGAACAACTCAAATTCCAGGGGTGGCTGAATTATGGAATGAAATGCATTTCCCAGCATAACACTGCCCAGGAAGTGAAAAACGAGTTTTACTGCTCTCTGTTCTTTCCATCTTAAAGCTCTCTTCTGCAAACACTTTCACTTATAAAAATGTCTATGTGACCGTTTTTTTCAAATCTCAAAAACAGCATAAAAGAGGAGGTATAAGACTGATAAAAATGATACTACCTCTTTCACCCCTGAATTATAGGAGATAACCATTTTTTCCATTAAATTCAACCTGTGATTATGTATATTAGTTGGGGGAAAATAATTCAAAACAGCTGATAAACAAAAATCATTTGTCTGGAATGCATTAAAGGGACATGTGTTTTTGTTTTGCTCAGGGTAGATGAATTATTATTCTTGGAGCTAAAATGAATACTTTTTTCCTAAGTACATATCATCTGTATGATTAGAAGTCATATGAAGACTGGAGATGTTGTACGGGGTTAAAGTTTGCAGCCTTCACATGCTTGGAGGGCCAATTTGGAGGAAAAGAGAACTTGTACTGTTTACTCCCCCAAGAGCAAACACCCTGAACAGCACGAAAGGTGCAACTTAGGGGAAGAGTTTTTGACTGAGTAGTTAAAATGCAATGAAATGCTCTGGAAGAACTACTTATGTGCTTGTTCTCATTAGAAGTAGGTTACTGTTGTTTGGTTGAGGTATTATACTGTGGGCAAGTGATGGAATAAATGATCCCCTTGATGGTGGGATTTGAGGCTGGTGTTTTAAAAATTTCTAGAGCCAGAGAGAAAGAGAGGTATTATTATGAGCTGACAAGAGCAAAGCAGTCCATCAGACCAGTAAAAGGCCTAGGTAAGAAATAGGTGAAATTCTGGGCGAGGCTCTCAAACTTGGAGTACCTTGGAGTTATAATGCTTTCTGTGGAATATTTTGCTCCTTGAAGGACACTATTAATACATTTCCAAACCTGGCTTTCCCTCAAAATCACTTGGGCTGCTTTATATATATATTTTGATAGGTTCTGATGTAGTCTGACTGAGAATTCCAAAACTGGGTCCTAGGATTTTAAAAACAACACAAGTCTCCAGGAGACTTTGAGGCAGCCTATCCTATAGCCTGTTTTAGGGAATTGCTGCTCTAATTGAACAAGCCATCTGATACATAAATCCCCTTTATATCATTTCTGCAAAGTAGTTCTCATTTCTGTGCTTAAACATCTCTAGGAATGAGAAATTTACTGTTTTCTGAGGTATATATATGGATAAATAACTTTCTTCCAAAACATACTAGTATTTTAAAAAATAAATAAATTGCCTTGCCTGTGTGGTTCTGTTGGTTGAAGCGCTGTCCTGTACACCAAAAGGTTGCAGGTTTGCTCCCTGGTCTGGGTACATGCAGGAAGCAACTGATTTCTCTCTCACATCAATGTTTCTCTCTCTCTCAAATCAATTTTTTAAAGTTTATAATTAAAAAAATAAAAGTAAATGAGCAAGGGAAAAAGTATGGAAAGAGAATTTTCTAACAAGGTTCTATATATTGGGAACCACTGAAAAATATGACCTTCACTATCCTAATAACCCTGAGATTCTAGGATTGTTTGTGTAGGTATTGGATAGAAACCTACTCTGCTTTACAAATGAACTTCAGACTCATAGCAAAGAAAAAGTAGCCTCTGTCCCTTAGTACCCTAGCTTCACTGACTGCTTTGCAAACCTATTCCAAGTCTAGAGAGGGTGACCACAGTTCTAATCCTGTTACCTTCACCGTGTAGAGTGTGTATGGGTGGAATCCGGTGCCACTGTGCTCTCGAGCGGTAATGGTGCCAGTGATACGGAGGTTCTGGATGACAACTGGGCCATCTGGACTGCTCAGGGGCTCAAAGCTGAAGGTGGCTGAGTTGAGAGGACCAGTTGGAGAGGAGGAAAGCAAAACCTGTGGCAGACTAGGATCGAGGGAGCTCACACCATTGGTAAGATCTTTCTCCAAACATGAGGGTCGTAGTGTGCAGGTACTTTCTGGACTCGCCAGCAAAGTTGTAAGAGAGGTGACATCTTGCTCTACCTCCTTGTCTGCTGTGTCAATCTGGATCTCTGGGCAGGAATTCAGCATGGAGACCAGCAGGCCTGTCTCTGTTTCTGGACCTTCTTCAGCCTCTGCTCCTTCAATTCCTTCAGATCCTTCATCATCCTTAGGCTGCAGAGACTGGGAACCCCCTAGGGAACACAGGGCATCCTGGATCCTGTCAGACAGGTAGTTGCCTGGGGTCATGAGCATGATGGTCTCTTTGCTGAGTTCAGACAATGGAGACTCCAGCTCTGCGTCTTCACATAAGAACAAAGGGCCTCGAATGTCTGGCTGTAGAAAGTGAGATGAGTTGTTTCCTACTTTTCTTTCTTCTGGCACTCCACCCAAATCTCCCTCTACAGCTTCATGGCCTTCTTCAACTTCTGGGGAGGAGCGGAACAGTCCCTCTGGCTCAGTACCGTTTAGGAGCACTGGAGCTGCAGCTGGAGAAGGAGCTCTCACTTCTGGCAGACTCTGGACCTCAACAATCAGCGGCAGAGAGGTGGGCACTGAGGGCTGTTCCAGGGCACTGGCTGGGCAGAGTGGTTCAACCACTCCTGCTGGATTATTCCCGGCCTTGGAAAAAATGCTCACAAGTACAAGATGGATCCAGTCAGGATCTGACAGTTTGCTAATCAGTGGTAAGATCACATTGCAGGTAATGAGTTCGATCACTACATGGCATCCTGTCCGAGTCTCCAAGTGGGGCTTTGGCACTAGTCCTTGCAGCAACAAACTCACAATGCTGCGGGTATAGGTAACCTCAGCACTGGAGCTTTGGACAGCAGGATGTGGGGCAGTAGCTCTGCAGTAAGCCTCCCAGAGTTGGGAGGGCTCAACCCCACCGCTCTGCTTCCCTGCTGTAGCCTCCTTTGCCTGAATATAGCTCTGCAGGTGACAACCGCAGAGAATCAGAACCCTTCGGGCCAGAGCATGACTGTCCACCATGCCCATCCTCCTCCGCAGCTCCTGGGCCAACCCTCGCATGGCCGCCTCCATTTCTTCCTCGAAGGCTGGCTCCTGGCTCACTGAGCGATACCAGGATGACACAAAGTCCCGAATAATCAGCTGGATGGTGCGGTTGATCTCCTGTTCTAGCTGCCTCTCGGCCTCGGGGTGCGGAGAGCAGACGGCCACTGGGACGAAGCGCTCCAGATGCAGTCGACCGGAAGCCCCCACAATGGCGTTTGAGCCCAGCCATCCCCCCAGCACCACCAGCAAGGCAGACAGAAGGCAGAGAAGCCACACACCGACCAGAACGTGGATGACCAGGAGGCAGCCAAGCACGACCCCCGCAGCCATCAGCTTCCGGCTACTCAGCAGGTTACTGCGGCCACAGCTGGACACTGCTCGGCTCCCTTGTGGCGAGGACACGGTTTCGGCCTTCATGGCTGCTCCAGACGGCCGCGTGTCCATTTTACTTCGGAGTTAGGGAACGGGGCATAACCGTGTCCCGGACACCTGGGGATCTGGGGCCCAAGGGGGCCGCGGCTCTGGGCCCCGCAGTCCTACAGCCACCGCAGAGCGACGGCGGCGGCCCCGTCCGGCGGACACGCTGCCCTGCAGGGGGGCTCCGCGGCTCTCATGCTGCCCGGGTCGGAGCGCCCCTCGGCGGCCTCGGGAGGGCGGCGGCTCAGGGGCTCCCTTCCCGGCACTCGCAGGCGCCGAGGGCCGGCCGGCCGGCACGGCCACACCCCGTGGGCGCCCGGCTGAGCCCGCCGTGCACTGGCTCAACGGTGTCTTCTCCGCCGGCCTGGGAAAGGCCCGTCGCTGGGCTGGAGCGGCCCGGGCGGGCGACTGCGCTCCGCAGCCCAGATCCTGTCAAGGCTGCCGGCCGGCCGCCGCCGCCGGCGACAGCTTCCGGGTCGCCGTCGGCGGGAGCAGGGCATGCTGGGAGAGCGGCCGTGCGTCGGGAGGTGCGGCTCCGCTCCGCGCCGCTCTGCTCGGCGCCCCCTGGTGTTGAGGAGCCGCCACGACAGCACTATCGAATTGGGTCTCAGACCTTGAAGAGTGCCGCGCGTGCCCCAATTCCCTAAGTGGAAAGGAATTCTCAGACCCAGACTTCCAGTTCCCTTTGTTAAGTGACGTCAGCAAACACCTTTTACTGCTTAGGAAAGACTCTCAATCCAGTTCATTTTAATCCCATGTACGTTTTTTTTTTCACTGAACGGACTCATTTTTAATATTCACTCCAAAGCACCCTCCCGCCCCGACCGTGCTATCCCCAATACACAGCTTTCCGAACTTGTTCTCAGGAATTGCAGAATACAAGGCATAAAACGTTAATACAGAGGCAGCTTTATTTCTTAAATTTCATATATTGTATAGCAAAATCACATTTGTGATTTGGAATTATTTGCTGGTGGCATTAGCCAGCCAAGCAACCACATATTTCAAGCATCTGCCACATTCAATCACTTTTGGTAGGTAGTGTGGAGGAACAGAAGCAGCCCTTGTTCTCAGGGACCTTGCAGTTAATTGGGGAGACCAGTTCTTGGATTATGAGTGAATATCTAATAATGTAAGTCAGTATGGGCTACAGTAAAATGCAAAGTGTTATAGGTATACAGGGGAAGGAATGATCACTGTAGATTGCAGTGGTTAAGGGGGACCTCATAGAGAAGGCAGTTTTTGTGCTGAATCTTCACAGTTGAGAGTTTTTTTCTATTGCCCTCCATTGCGTCTTCCTCATTCCTTCACAAATACATAGGAAAGGCAGAGGTAGAGATGTATTTTCAGAATGTGCTCTATGTTTGATTTTTGTTTAGTAAATTTTTTTTCAGTTGTCTGCTCTGACAACAGTATTTACAGAAAGATTAAACATCTGACAGTAGCACTGACTATACATAACAATGTTTGTGCCAGTTTTGTGTAAAACTGGCTTCCTTCCCCCTCTTGGTCCCTAGGAGCTCTCTCTGCAATGTGGCTATCCTTTATATTTTGGCACAGGTTGTACATCATTTGTATAGAGTTGCTCATGATTGCCTATTTTCAGCATCCTCCATGCTGTTAGCAGCCTTTTGCCATTGCAACATTAGTCCCCAGATACTTAGAGGAATCTTCACGCAAACTCCCACTAGAAATCGTGCTAATAAGAACCATATTTTGGCTTCTTTCATCTCCATTTTTACTGTAGGGGTAAAGATTTTTTTGAATGCAAAAGAATCATCTTTTAGATGTGGGGCATAATTTATGACATTTCTAAAGGAAAAAGTTTGATTTAGGATCAAAGGGTCCACGAAGCATTTCCCTGAGATCCCAGAATTCCGGTCCCTCCACTGCTGCTCTGCTGCCCACAGGAAAGGGATCTAAGAAGTGGGAACTGCCTATATTTGGCCTCCCAGATCATTCCATTGTCCCCAGAGGCAGCTAGAAGATCACAATGATGCTCTGGAGAAATATCCCTGCCACCTAACTGAGAACTAAAAGAAAGGAGTTGGTAAGGAAGGGATTGATGATTCGCTGTGACAGTTCAGAGAGAGAGTTTACTCTGCAGCCTAATCTGCAGTGTTCAGGATAGTAAGACATTGACCTTGAAAGTGAGTGGTGTGCCACTGAACTAGATGGTCTGGAGCACCCACATAGCCAAGAGCACCTTCCTGATTCTGGAAGCAGGGCTCTCAAATGAACATGCTAGTACACTTGTCACTTTGAGTGGTATGAACTTCTGCCTATGGGTCTGGGGCAAACCCCAGTCTCCAAATAGACCAATCAATGGGAGTAAGTGAGCGGCAGGCCCAATATTTGATGTGAATATGTTGGGGGGAGGTTGGCTGTTTGGCCACATTATTCACCATCTTGCTAGGTCCTGCCTGCTTTCTTTCATACTATTTCTCAAAACATTATAGACATAGTGCTAGGGTGCGGGGGATAACAAGACAAATAATTCACTGTAATTCATCTAAAGGGATTCTCAGTCTAGTTAAAGGAGGGAGACACATAAATGGATAACTGTAATTGAACATTATCTGGTCTGGTGTGATAGTTGCAATAGACATATGTACATAAAATGGGAACACAAAGAGGGGTGGTCAAGTGGGGAACTGGCTGGTTCCAGTAAAATCTTCGTAGAAAGCTTACCCTTAATTTGGAAAAGGAAAAATATGTAAGAAAGTTTTTAGGTGAATTAGGGTAGAGCGAAGTGAAGAGGAAGATAGTCTTCTAGGCAGAGGCAGCAGTGACAAAACAAGCAGGGACGACGAGAGCGGGGAACTCTAGGAAGAGGCCACGCTGCCGGCAGCTCGGGCCTCACCTCGATTTTCTCTCCAAAATGGAACTCAAGGTAACTGACTAAAGAGAGGGGTACTGATGGGGCAGATGGCGGGAGAAGAATTGAACAGAATTACTGCTGTTCAAATTAGAACAACAACAAAAACCACCCCATAGACACAGACGCAGTATGGTGATTATCAGAGGGAGAGGGGGTGGGGCAGGTGGAAGAGGGTAAAGGAGGATAAATGGTGATGGAAGGAGACTTGACTTGCCATGGTGAACACACAATACAATGTACAGATGATGTATTGTAGAACTAAAACCTGTATAATTTTATTAGCCAATGTCACCACGATAAATTTAATAATAAATAAGGAAATAAACATGGATAAAAACAAATTAGAACAGGGAATGAATGAAGGTCACATAAAAGAATAAAGAAGGACTGAGGGCATAGCTGAGGTTAAATGTCATGAACCTGTAGTGGCACCAATGCATATTGAGTTATTTTCTCTTGTGACAGTTAGTATTTTTAGTATAGGAGAGAAGAAAGCAGGAGGTTAGTCTTTTGCAATATTTGAGGTATCGGAGCAGATGAAAGGAGAGAATAAGTGGTTAAGACATTGACATTCTGCCATGGCTGGTTTGGCTCAGCAGTTGGAGTATCGACCTGCGGACCAGAGAGTCTCAGGTTCAGTTCCTGCTAGGGGCACGTACCAAAAAAAAAAAAAAAAAAAGACATTGACCTTCTGAGAATAGAGCTGTTAAAATTTAAAATCATGATGTCTTGGTGTCTAGGAGAAGAAAAAGCAAGGACAGAGATTGTGAGAATAGGTTAGGTGTGCTGGGAGAACGAATGAGCCAGAAGAATAAAGGTTGTGGCTATAGACTGCTCTTTTGGAACCTGTATTTGTTCCCTATTGCTGCTCTAGCCAAATTCACAAATTTACTGGCTTACAGCAACATACGTCTATTTTCTTACAGTTCTGGAAGTCAGAAGTCTAACATGCGTTGGAGGCTGTAATCCTGAGTCTACTTTCTTGATCATGGCCCCACATTACACCAATCTCTGCTTCTGTCATTACATCTCCGCCTTTCACTCTGACCTTCCTTCCTTTCTCTTGTAAGGACCCTTGTTCCCTGGCCAGTTTGGCTCAGCAGTTAGAGCATCGGCTCATGGACTGAAGGGTCACGAGTTCGATTCCCCGTCAAGGGCATGTACCTGAGTTGCAGGTTCAATCAAGGAGGCAACCAATCACTGTGTCTCTCTCACATTGATGTTTTTCTCTTTCTTTCTCTCTTTCCCTCACTCCCTCCCTTCCACTCTCTCTAAATATAATAAAATTTAAAAAGTCGATGGAAAAAAATACCTTTGGGCGAGGATTAACGAAAAAAGAAGAAAGAAAGAAAGAAAGAAAGAAAGAAAGAAAGAAAGAAAGAAAGAAAGAAAGAAAGAAAGAAAGAAAGAAAGAAAGAAAAGACAAGACCCTTGTGATTACATTGAGCCCTCACAGATAATGCAGAATAATATTTCCATCTCAAGAGTCCTAATGTAATCACATCTTCAAAGTCTCTTCTGCATATAAGGTAACAAGTCAGAGGTTCTGGGGATTAGGATGTGGACATCTTTGTGGGTGATGGGGGCCTTATTTGACATACTACAAAGCCTAAGTATTTAGAGATGGAAACATTAGAGTGATGATGAAGTTTGGGTGTGAACATGTAATGATTTCCAGAAGTAAGGTATAGATAACTTGATATCTATATCAAGGAAGATGAGGAAGAAATTTTGAATCTGTTTTTGAGAAGGGTGATCTACATGGGACTGGAAGTCACTGATGCTAGGGTAGAGAGAAGGACTGTGGTCTTGGTATAAAAGTTCTCAACAAATGAGAAGAGTGACTGGGAGGTTGGTTGATGATGTAATGAGAAGAGTAGAGTATGGTAATACCAAACTAGGAGAAGGAAGTTTGGCCTAAAGAAGCCACAAAGAACTAGGGTGTTGCCAGGGACATCTCTACACCCTGTCTTGGATGCAGTGTTGGAGAATAAATATCCCTAAGAGGGTAGCAGGCAGTATGGTATCTGAAGGAGAAATTGCATGCTATTTATTCATTCACTCACCCATTCACATTTCCATCCATCCATTCATTCAACAGGCATTAAACTAGATATTGGGAACTCAAAGATGGGTTTTATATGATTGCTCTTCTTAAAGGATTCGCAATGCAGAACAAGAGACAGACACTGGCACAAAGGGTGATGAAAGTTAAATGAAGTTATATACACATGCACATATGTAGATGTAGATGTGGATTTACTGTGAGGGATCAGCTTAAGCCAGTGAGGCTGAGAAGTCC